CCCTGAATGGGCACCCCCGCGTACTGTAGGCGGCCGGGATCTGAAAGCGGACGGTTTCACTGAATTCGCGCCCCCCCCCCCCCCGACCAGGAAGTGACCTGGAAGTGACCGGTAGTGACCTTGAACTGCCTTTTGACGTGCAAGAGAGTATATCAAGATACCTTTTGTAGTGCAAGAGAGCCTCTCAAGCTGCCTTTTGACGAGCAAGAGAGCATATCAAGCTACCTTTTGACGTACAAGAGAGCGGTAGTCACCTGGAAGTGACCGGGAAGTGACTGGGAAGTGACCAGGAAGTCACCGGAAGTGACCAGCAAGTGACCTTTCTTGCGTGCCCCCGTGAGTGCAAAGCTAGTTATGAATACCTGACTGGCATCTACCCTCTGCCTACGCCTAGCAACGCCTTCACTTGCACGACGCGCCGGCACTCACTCACTCGTGTCATAAAAAAACCTTCACAACCTACCTGAAGCCCCCAGCACTTCGGAGTGGTCGAAGATGTCACCTGATCGGCGGGGTTTCCCAGGGGGGGAGGGCTTCACCTACCCTACCCTACCCTATAGTCCTAGCAGCACAGACTGCGCAGCACTCCTTCAAGCACGCGAAACTTCACTCCTACGCAGTGGTGAACTGTCACTCCTAACGCAGCCCTCACTAGGAACTTGCTCAGAGCGCCCGACTACCAAAGTTCAGAGAAGTCGTGGTCCACGAGCGCACCTCGCAGTAAAACCACCGAACCGACCCTAGCAGACCCATCTTTATGAGAAAATTGAAATCTTCCAGAAGATGGGTCTCCCAGCATGGCAGCCCTCACTAGGAACTTGCTCAGAGCGCACGACTACCAAAGTTCAGAGAGAGCGTGCATTTGGGTCCCAAACCGAAAAGCAGACACTCAGACACTCAGACGCTTAAGGCCGGGGGGGGGGGAAGGGGTTTGAGTGTCTGAGTGTCTGAGTGTCTGCCGCGCGGGGTCTTGAGTGTCTGAGTGTCTGCCGCGCGGGGGTTTGAGTGTCTGAGTGTCTGCCGCGCGGGCTCTTGAATGTCTGAGTGTCTGAGTGTCTGCCGCGCGGGGATTTGAGCCACAACTCAGAAATTGCTGCAGTTTGGCTCACGCACAGGTGCAGTTCGCAAAAACCATGTACGGCACAGTTACGCTGCAACGAGAGCATGCGGAACCTTCTGCAAACCGCAGCTGCTGGATTTTGCACTATTGCACCGCGCAGCTTGCGAAACATTGCGCCAGCCGGCACCGGGCACCTAGGTTCACAGCATCTGCACCTCTGCACCGCAGTGCCATGAGAAGGATTGGGGCGCTGGCAGTTGTCTGTCGATTGCTGGCTCGAGGAGAGCTGCAACGCGGCCTCAGCTTCGGATCTATGCACCAACTCCAGCTGCGTTGACGGGGCCTCTCGCTGAAGCCTCCGTTGTCGTTGCTGATGGTCCTCTGGAGACGGCAGAAGGACATCTCAGATAGTCGCGCTCGACACAGCAGACATAGATATTGAAAAAAAGTTCCTGGACAGCCGAGCAGAGCTGCTCAAAGGCTTCCTGGACATTCTGGCCCGTCACTGCCGAAGTCTCAAGCACCTGAAACTTCAAGGTGCTGACAAAGATGTTCAGACTTTCCCCGTCCTTGCCTTCACACAATTGGGCCAGCCAGTCTGCAGTCGTCGCAGATCTTCCTCCGAGACGTCCCACCTGTGAAAGCTATTTTTGCAGATGAAGGTAAATCAATTGAGCTTCGGCCTCAAGTCCGCCATGTTGGCAGCAATTACCTGCTTTGGCCAGCACATTGGGCATGTTAGCTGTCCAAAGAACTGCGCTTCCCGTCAGCTGGGCGGCTGGCGCTGGGAGGCACCTGGTGGTGGATGTAGGTGGAAGAACTATAAATTCCTGTCCATGCTACATCTACGAAGAAATGTTGTTTTCCGTCCACTTGCTCGAAGCTCTAGCAGGATTTCCTTCTGCTGTCTGGAAACATTACCGTGATGCGCTTGGCCTTACTTCTGTGGCGGTTCGAACCTGTAGATCTTCCGTTGGCTGTGAAGCGGGGTCCCTTTGAATGAGCACCAGGGCAAAACCAAAGCACGGGAGCTGCATCGGAGGATAGATGGTGTGGCCCATCAAAAGTAGCACCAAACTTCCCATGTCGGCAGAGGCTCCAAAGAGCCCGTCTTAAAGGAAAACACTTCGCTCTGGTTGAAAAAGTCTGTCCGCAGGTTCAGAACACAATTCTCTGCCAATCAAAGAGCCGCCGCCTCCTCGCCGTAGACACTGCGGAGCTCGTCGCGAAATGCCAAAAGCCTCAGGGAGCCCTTTGCAGTAGGGCAACTAGCGCACAGAGTATCTCGGAGTCATGCCCCTCGAGTGTTTGCCGATCAGCCAGCGAGAAGACAAAGAGGAAGCTGCAGGAAACAGAAAAAGGACACAAAACAAAGCTTGAAGCAGCTCTCAGGCGGACCCCTTGCCATTTTGGAGCCAACTCCTGGCATTGGACGAGAGAGGCCGCTGGGATCCAAAGCAGGATACCTCTCTGCGAGGTCCTCCGCAAAGATGTGTAAGTCTCTTGCCCGGCCGTATCCACGATCTCAAGGCCTGAACGGCTGATTAAAAAAAAAACATAACTCTTGTGGGAGCCTGAGTCCCAGGCAGAGCTGTGATCCCTTCACCACGATGTCTTTCTTGTGCAGGTCCTTTTGGGGTCAGGTTAGATAGACATGTCTGGAAGGGGTTGACTCATGCTAGGGCGCATCGGTATAGTATTAACTTCTCCGGAATGCAATGCTCCCCCATTCATCTGTGAAATTGTGAGGTCGGGGGTGTTGGGTTTAGGGGCCAGAGAGTAGGGACTAGGTCTTACGGTTTTTTCGGGTTGAGGATTTCGAAGCTAAGGACTGGGGGTGTTATCTTTAAGGTTTTGGGTTTTAAGTTTGGGGTTCTGGGATGGACTTGCGGTTGTAGGGTTGTGTGAAGGCTGTGAGGATGGAGTGGTGGGATTGGGGTTGTGAGGTCAGGGCTTCTTTGTTCCGAGCATAAATTCACTTCGGGTCTCGGTTTAAAATATTAGGGCTGGGGGTGGTAGGGTTGTGGGGCTGCGGGGTTGTGGGTTGGGGTTGTGGGTTCTAGGGTTGTGGGTTTTTAGGTTTGTGGCTTGTGTGTTGTGGACTTCGGGTTGTGGAGCCGTGGGTTGTCTAAGCGGTGTTGTGGATCTTTATGTGAAGCTCAAATGTCACTTATGTTCATTCTGCAGCTAAGGAGTTCAGAGCTAAGGAGTTTAGAGCCAGTGCTGATTATTGGCAACGTGTTTACTTTTCAAGGTTGAGGGCGTGAACGTAGGCCAAGGGCACGATTTTAGGCTGTTAGTGTAGATTCGTTCGCCTGACCATGTCCAAGGTCGAATTTTGTGCGCCATGATCTGTTGGAAAATGCCAGAGTGAGTTCATGCTAGTTCAATTTTGTGGACCATATGGTGAATGCGCAAGACGTGTCCGCCGCCTCAATGGTTGGGTCGTGCTCCAACAACACCTCATCCCTGACATCATAATGCAAGCTCCGGGGTACAATCATGAGCCTGAGAGCGGCCTGACAAACTTGAGGGTCAGCGCGGACTTTCCGACGCCGGTGCAACCCAGAATTGCAAGGGCAAAGCGCTCTTGAACACGCACCTCAGGGTCGATGAGTAGAATGACAGAGAATTAAAATGCTTGCACCAAGACCCAAACAGCCATCTGCGGTCCTTCGGCTACGCAACATGAACGGAAATCGCAACCAGCTGAGAAAGCTAAAGCATGACATCACTCAACTCTCGCCATGAAATTTATGTTTTATCTCCATCTCGTCCTTGACCAGCCGTGGGTCGTTCCTGCATGCGTATCATCACGTTTGTTTTTTCTTCCCGTCTTGCCTGCACAAACCATGATGCGTTCCTATGGGCAAGCGCAAAAGGTTTCTGGCACAGATCCTCACGCAGCCGTGTGAAAGATGACGGCAACATCAGCGAGTGTCAGTGCTCACTGTCCTTTTACGTTTTGTATTTGTCTGCTAACGTGACGATAATATCATGATGATCGGAAACCGGTGAGAAACTAGTTCGACTGGTTGCTAAACAATCTAGATGTTGTTAGGGAACGGGCAGCAACTGCAAACGCCTGAGACTGCTTTGAGCACTTCCCTCTTCCTGCACAATGTGCGCTGGACAAGCCAAGATCCCACAATGCGTGAGCCATTGCCCCAATGCTCACCCAAACCACTGAACAAAAAAATAAACACACGAAATGGTCTGAACGGTATGCTTAAGATCGAGCCAGCGCACAAGATAATCACCAGATGTGCCGCTGTGGTGTGCAACTTGGGCTCCGAAGCTTTTCACACAACTGCTTGCCATTGCAATGTTGGCAAGGACAACTAAGCTTGGAAATGTCAACCAGGTGTGTTGGCTCTGACATGCTCTGACTCAGCTCCACAAAAACCTTTACTTTTCCCAAACGAGCCCCCAGACCAAAATGTCGAAGTCAATCGTGTTCATACAAGTTTGCATACTACGTGTATAATTTTTTTCCGGGCACGGGATTTAAAACGTCAATGGTTACTCAATGTTTTGTTCAAGAAAACAGAAGGCTTTGGCGGAGCGTTTGGCGCGTTTGATCTTGAATGTGAAAAACCCACAAATGCTAGACCTTGCAAGAAAATGTTTGACGTCTTGAATCCCGCGCGCCTAATTTTTCCGCTCGCACCAACCATCAAGCACGAAATGAACCATGGCAATACGCGTCAATCGCAACATGAACTATGAAGGAATGTACCTGCTTATATTCCTTTCAATCCATTCATATGCAAACATGTGGCAGACGCTTCCTGGAAACGCAAGGCACCACGGTGGTAATGGTTCAACCAACTGAGAAATCAGGAAGCCTGATCAAAATGATGGAAAATCATGAAAATCATGAAAAATCATAAATGCTGATATATGGTGAAACCGGATAAACCATGATAACAATGTTGAAAATCATTGAAAGCTATAAAACATCAACAGCGCAACATGATGAGAAGTTCTGGAAAAGATGAACATGGCGAAAAATCGGCGGAAAAAATGTGACAAACAATGAACAATGATGAATAAAAAGGAAATGTCGTCAGAACGGATTGAGTCGAATGGTGACATTTCTAATACATATGAATTGCATCCAGAGCAAGACAACTCAAATCAAATCAATCATCGTCAAGAGTCACTCAAAGGCTTAAGTCCGTCAGGAATGTAGGTGTTCATATTGGTATCCAGCTATTCCCAAAAGGCGCTAACAAACATCTCCATCAAATATGTAACGGGAAAACCAAAATAAATGTATATACGAAATTTCCAACATGCAATCACTCAAGATCAGAAGACGCTCCCTCCTTTTTGGTCATGGTGGAAATGCAGCAGAATACTAAGTATTTGAATGCACAATCCGAACCCCCCTTGAGTCCTACCATGACCATAAAAGGAGGCAACGCTGCTTTCTCCCCCACCTACAGACGTGTTGCCGACGCATGACAGCAGAGCCGTTACGGATCCGGCCGCACTACCATAAGTGGTGTTGCTTGTTAATCGTTTAAGGAGGCTCCCAAAGAAGCTGTGTGTCTCCGGGGAAGACACTGACCCGCCATGGTTGTTGCCATAACTTGTTGACAGGAAAACGAACACGGTGCCTGATTTCCCACGCAGGCGCCAAGAACTGGGTTGAATCTAGCCTGGACAACATGTCCGCTGCTTTATTCTTTAAACTCGCATACGC